AATCGTTAGTATTAAAAAATGGTTAAATAAACAATTGGATATTATTACTGAAAGTCTCCTGAAGGGAACAAAAGCCTTCCGATCGAAAAATATTTATTTTCAAGAATTCTATACCATTTCTACGAAAAGTGGTTTTTTTCCCATATAAAAATACATGGAAAACTTTGAGCGCTTTTAGCGACCTCTAAATATTTTTTGATTTTAATATAAAAAAATAAGGGTATACTTTTTTCGATATAGAACAATCCTAGGGGGTGAGAGCATAATAGTTCCGACTTTACTGTTTTTGGACCACCCTAATGCACATACATGCTTGGGAAACGATTTATTTTAACTTTTTTTTACATATTTTTTTTTTGTGCAGATAATTTAATTAAGATAAATGATGTTTTTGTGAATGCACGAATATTTAATGGCTGCAATTGGGATGAAATTACTTCGCACGTTGGTAAAAACGAAATTTGTATGTACTATTGACGCCTTCGCGTTTCCACGCATTCTACGGTTGCCTTAAGCAGTTTATTTTTAAGTCGTGTATTTTCTACGCAGTTAAATGATTCCTTCATACCTTTTTAAATGTGAACAGTAAAGGAATAGGTCAGGTGGAGAAAGGTTATACTTATATCACTCTCTCTTTCTTTACCGCCATATCGCCGGAATCTCGCTTCATAATTTAGGTCCTCAAACTCCTGTGAAAATTTCAATTCTTTGATAACTTGCCTAATCAATTTTATTTGATCAAATTTAAGTTCGAATTTTAATAGAATAAAAAATATAACTTTAATTCATAACAAGAACAAAAGAAAAATATTTATGGCCTTAACCTGTCTTATCAAAGGTCTTTGGCACCGTTTGTCATTCCATGCTCCTAGAAGAATTTCAGGCATTCTCTCCTAGAAAGGACTTAAACAGTGGACGGGTAATTACCAAAGGGGTCGACAGTCGTCGGTTATTTTTCGGTGTCAAACTTCAAAGCCTAAAAGAACTAAAAATGGGTTGTTTACTTTTCCCATTGCTGTTTTACTTCTACACCTCAAAGCTTCCTCCTTCGCCGCCAGAGGGAGTTTTCTCAGTACGCCCAAGTGTCAATCATGTTCGGCCAATTGTTCATCTTCACTATACTTGTTTAAGTGAGCCACTTTATACAAGAATACCTAAGTATTTTTAGTACTCACCGCACATTTGTTACAGTTATGTTGCTAACACCATACGCTTGTATACTACGGAATAGGGCGCGATAACCGTCAGGTCCACTGCCCAACACAATGCCAATCTCATCGATGACAACTGGTTCAATCTGAAAGAAATATAAAGTATTACATATCTGTGGTCTTTTGACAAAACATCCTCTGTGCCTTCTGTAGGTTGGAATTTAGAGTAGATTTTATGGAACTACCATTTAAAAAATGCGACATTTTTTTTATGCTACCAATAAGCTATCATCTTGAACTACTCCTATTAATGACGAAACACAAAAACTCGAGAACTCAATGAATTATTGCTTTGAAGAGAAAATAACCTCACTCAAGAGAAGTTGTTTTGTCAAAAATCCACATATGTATATGTACATACCCTAGAGAAAAATAGTGTCAATTGATAAAAAATAACCCATTTGTAGTTAGCTTTTTTGCGGGATTTCTATAAAATATATAACTTGTAGTTAATTACAAAAAGTAATGTAGAAATTTCTTTCTTTAAACAAGTTTCTATGTAAATCTCCTGATACAAATTTTACTTTGAAAACATTTTCTTTCTGCACTTCACAAATACTTTTTCGAATTAAGGACAAATAAAAGGAATATCGAAATGCAGTGGTAACCACCCTTGACTATTTCGCGGCCATCTCCATAGAGATATAGTTGGCTTTCCCCAAAGAAAATATACAGATCATAGTGACCTTTAGTTCCTTCCTAATCAACTTCAAGTTAACTTATAGTTAGATACATTTCTCGCAGGGTACATTTATATACGTAAGTAAATATATATGTATGTGTGAGAAATAGATATGTATGTATGTATGTGCGTGCAAATGCTCTCGAGTGGGTGTAACTTCCTGTAGCTCACCTCGTAAATATCCAATTCAGGTATACCCTGCCGCAGATAATGCACCAATTTATTGCCACTGTCACGCAGGCATTCGTTGACATATTCTTCATCGCGCGGACACTGTTGCAGGTAATAAGCTGAAGTGGCAAAAAAAAACCAAAGTAAAAAAATTATTAATGATATATGTAATAATAAATAGTAGTAATTCAGCAATTAATTGGCGACACAAAATAACGGTTATGTGAATTGAAATGCAAATGTGGTAAGCAATGATAATAGGCACGAA